AGGATGATTTTTAAAATCACTTAAAGTGTAGGCATCGGTCTGTCAGCAAATATTTCAGCCAATTCTTTATCTCTCTTTTCTCTTGGCGAGTTCGCTTACGAGGTCTGAAAAAGGAAAGAGTCTCGGTCCACCAATCTTCATCAATACGAGAACGACGAAACTTGCAAGAAGCAAAATCTGAACAATATCTTTGTGAGACATCCTTAACGTGAGAAAAGTTATCCCAAGAGACGACATACAACAGAGGATTGTGTGATCTTTTTTCAATTTTACTAGGATTATCCCATGTTCCTGATTCAACGTCCACACAAATCCACTTTTCTTCCGTTTCAACATAAATCTCGCACCAGTATTCTAGTAGATTTTTATCTTCAGTAGTTTTAACTACCATCAAATCATTGGAGTCATCTTCACTTATAATTGATTTATTTTCTACTTTAAGCACTTTTGTTTTTTGTTTTCCTTTCCCTTTACCTTTGCCTTTGGCTTTCGACCTTTTTTCATCATCAGAGTCCATTTCGTAATCTTCATCCTCTTCATCAGAGCTTTTTTTCCGCTTTTTTCCTCGACTTGAGCTGGTATTACTAGTTTTCTTAGTTTTTGAATCATTTTTCCCTGCATTTAATTTATCACTGGGTAGTTTTTTGTCGGCAGTTTTGTTGCTTGGTTTTGACTTGGGCTTGGAAGACTCTTCAGGGTCATCTTTGGAACTTTTGGCTTTTGATCTTTGCTTCTCAGTCATTATTAAGTTATCAGGTTTGATTGGGATAGGATTTAGAGCATAACATAGCCTCAATTGAATTTTGGGAGAATAAATACGAAGGAAGGCCAAGAACATGAGAACATATGCGACTTGAGAATGAACAACATTAGTTTCAAATGCTTGAGTCAATGAATCAAGGAGATCTGTTTTTGACCTAGGTTTTTTTTCCAGATTAAACCATGAGCGAAACCAATTGGTGAAATCTCGGACGAAGAGTAAATTTATCTTTTTAAGGTCAAAAGTAAAAGAAGTAAGATGAGAAAGCGCTAAGGATGATATGAGTGGGTGGTATGTAAGTCGATTGAGGTAAAAACCTCGACTCAACAAGCAAAGTAGGTGAGTTTTATGCATCTCAACCTGTAACTCTTTTTTCATTCGATTAATTTGCTGTCGAAGGAGCTCATCTACATCAACCTGTTTTTTACGCCTTTTTTTGTTAAATATCTTTGGTCCATCAATAGTAATTTGAACTCCTTGTTCAGGTAATTGTGGCTTGTAGTTTTCAAGAGCATCTTCATCGTCAGCAATTTGAGCTTCTTCCACTTCTTCCCAATCATCAGCATCAGAGTCTTCATCAGAATCACTGTTACCATCATGGTTCTTTTCATCGCTATATTATAGTCCTGGCTGTTTTCATCGTTTTCATC